CTACCACGCATTGACGACCTACTGGATAGAGTGCAGGGATGCCGGTACTTCACAAAGATAGATCTTAAGTCTATATACCATCAAATTGCCATTAGACCTGAGGACCGGCACAAAACCGCATTTCAGACCAGGTACGGTCTGTACGAGTTTGTGGTGATGCCCTTTGGCCTATGCAATGCACCTGGTACATTGCAACACGCAATGAACAAAATATTTCATGAGTACTTAGACAAGTTTATCGTCGTGTACCTCAACGATATTCTTATCTTTAGTAGGACTGTAGATGAGCACGCTGAGCACTTGAAAATAGTGCTAGGTCTCCTAAGACAGCACCAATACAAGGTTAACTTGGAGAAATGCGAGTTCGGTCACACCAAGATCTTGTACTTGGGTCATGAAATCTCCGCGGACGGGTTGAGGCCGGATGATGCTAAGGTGGCCAGCATACGCGACTGGCTCAGGCCTCAGACTGTTACTGAGGTCCGATCGTTTTTGGGGATGACGGGCTACTATTGTCCGTTTGTTAAAAACTATAGTACTATAGCTTCCCCATTAACTGATCTGACTCGACTTGACACCCCTTGGGAGTGGACTGAAGAGTGTGAAGCAAGCTTCAGGAAACTGAAGTATGCTCTGACACACTATGAGGTTCTTAAACTTCCGGATCCTGATAAGCCATTTGTCATGACCACATACGCCAACCAATATGGCATAGGCGCGGTCCTTGTGCAAAAGGAGGGGCCCAAGTTGAGACCTATCGAGTACATGAGTAAGAAGATGCCGTCACAAAAGCTAGCAAAATCCATATATGAGCGTGAGCTCTATGCCCTCTACAGAGCGCTGGTCCATTGGAGACACTACCTCCTAGGTAGGTTCTTCTATTTGAGATCTGACCATGAGACCTTGCGCTGGATCAAGACACAGCCTGTACTCTCTGACACACTCAAGCGATGGATTCAAGTGATAGACATGTATGACTATCAACTGGATCCAATCAAGGGAGAGTACAACAAAGTAGTTGATGCACTATCACGGGCGCGTTAGTGACTGAAATCGGCATATCTAACGATCTAACTCGATCCTTGGTGTACGCCTATCAGCAAGATTCAGTTTTGTCTGAGATTATCCTTAAGTTCAAAAAGAAAGATAAAGGAACTTTTGATGAATTTCCGATGGTAGATGGCTTGCTGTTTCTTAAAAAGGCAGGGAATAAAAGACTGTGTGTTCCCAATAGTGAGTCTTTGCGTAGTTTATTTTTAGGTGAGTGTCACGGTGCAACTGGACATTTCGGTTATAGGAAAACTTCAGCTAACCTAGTACAAAATTATGGTGGCCTTCTATGATGGAAGATGCCAAGAAGTATGTCGAAACCTGTCATGTCTGTCAACGTGACAAACCTAGGACTCAGGCTCCGTTTGGGCTCATCAAGCCCCTGCCGATTCCTGAAGGTCCTGGTCAGACTATCTCCATGGATTTTATGGATACTCTGGTGACCAGCAGGTCTGGGAAAAGACACATCTTTGTTATAATAGACCGCTTTTCTAAGTATGCAAGACTGATTGCTATGCCGGAGACTGCTAAAACTGACTATGTCATCAGGCTGTTCATGGACAACTGGGTACGAGACTTTGGTTTACCTAAGTCTATCGTCAGTGATAGGGATGTTCGCTTTACTAGCGAACTGTGGCAGAACACTGCCCAACAGATGGAAACCAGACTCCAAATGACATCAGGGAATCACCCTGAGTCAAACGGACAGGCGGAACAGATGAACAGAGTAGTGCAGCATTTACTAAGGCACTATATCAAGCCAAGCCAAGATGACTGGGACGAGAAACTACCTCTCGTCTCCAGCCTGTACAACAACGCTGTACATAGCGCTACTGGCATGACTCCCAACCAACTGCATCTTGGTTGGAAGGCCCGTTCCTCCCTTGACTTCCTAGTACCTGAGAAACAGGCCACTGCAGCACCAGGCAGCATAGAATTTGGTGTCAAATACGAACAGATGCTGCAGCAGGCCGTTGAACACATCAGGACATCTCAAAATGCTATGATTGCGCCTGAGAATAAACACCGACGACCTTCTAACTTTCAGGTAGGGGACAGGGTCTGGGTAAAGTCATCTGAACTGGGGCAGGAACTAGGTGTATCTAGGAAACTAATGCCACCGTACTTCGGTCCATGGGAGGTCCTGGACATAGTGGGGGATCAGATAGATGGACTTTCCTATGTGATTCGCGTCCCACCACACCTACGTACGCACCCTGTATTTCATGCCTCAAAGCTGGCACCTTTCGCAGAGTCTGCACCGTTTCCTTCCAGACGGTCAATGCTGCCCCCGACCATGTATGGTGTAGTTGACATCGACGAAATTGTGGAGCATCGAGTGATGCCGGTGCCTAAGCCGCCGGGCAGAGGCCGCCCTCCTAAGCCGAGAATGCAATACCGGGTCAGATTCCGACATCATCTGGATCCCAAGGAAGATCGGTGGTTCATCAGAGAAGAACTCATGAGAACAGCACCTCAAGTTGTTGCAGGCTACGAAAAAGAACTCAAGGGGAAGATGCCTGCAGACTAGAAGACTTCTCAGAGGACTATCGAAGATAAGGAGAAGGGAATGTGAGGATCTGGGTCCTCGGCAGGCCTAAAGGGCCTCTTGCTGCAGACCTGCCCGCCCTAAGTGAAGGCGGGCCTAACAATCACATGAGGGCCTAGGCTATCAATTTCGTATTTGGGGTCCAGGCAGTTTCGTCGCGCCGGTTGGTTGAGGGAAATACAGGCCGAGCAACAAAGACATTCCACGGCCTTCTGGGCCTTTCCAAGAATGCAGGCCCTGGGCGAGAATCGCAGGCTGATACATGGACAGTTGGGAGGCCCAACCGAACGAGGCCCAGTACCTGCAACACAAGCGCAGTATCCTGGGGCCTACCGGAAGCTTCTGGGCCCAGGGCAGTCCAGCCAGGCTGCGAAGGCAGGAGGCTCTTTCCATATAGGAAAGAGCTCACCACCAGCAGCCTCATTCAGGCAGTTGCATGCTAGCGGCAGCGCTGCTGGAGCGGATGCTCACGGGCTGTAGCTGGCGCTGAGAGGCTAAGTGCTAGCGCGTGCGGTCGTGCAGGAAGTAGGGCGCTGCTGAGGGCAGCGCCATAGCCCAGCCTCCATAGCTGCTGAGGGCTTGGTTGTATAGTGAGGCGCAGGGGTGGTCTTCGGATGTACAGAGGGAAGACGTGGGTATAAGACGAGGGAGAAGAGAGAAGAATGATGATGATGATGATGTGAGGGCACATACCTGGTATTGGCGATGGTCTGCTACGGGCGACTTCTTCAAGTACTTCGTTGGCTGCTGACGTGAACAGTTGCATTGTCAATTAGTAGGCTAGTAGTAGCTGTGTAGGGAGTAGGCTGGGCGCCAAGTGCCAAGTAGGAGAAGGGCCTGGATACATATGTTGGTGGTGGCGAGAGCAAGCTCTCGTTGACATTGGTTTTCAGTGTTACGATTCTCCATTGGTGACATATTGGTGCAATGCTACTTTCTGAACACTGTGATACGATCTGGCTTTCAAATTTCAATGTGATTGTGCAATCTGAATATTGTCATCTCGCTTCTGCTCATCTCCCTTGCATGTGTGTGTGCTTCTGTGGTCCACACAATCTTGAATGTATATCATGGTTGCCCCGGACACGGACATCCGGACAACCGGACACAGTCACCGGACCCGTGTCTGGATTAAACCGGACGTCCTGTTAACCGGACATCTAACCGGACATCCGGACAACCGGACCCAGACAGTCTGGTTGGTTGTATCAGTGTCCGGTTCCAACATGCTAATAAAATTGGAAATATTAACGCACGAACTTCAAAGTTCGGAACTTAGAATCTTGGACCGGCACACATGACACAAACACACACACACACACAGAGTAAGGCCCCTTTTTTTTTTCTTTCGTGGGATTGGACTCAGGGCTGACTTGCGTCAATTGGTGCATGCCTTTGTTCCCCTTCGTGGGATTAGACCTCCGCCCCTGTCTTGGGGAGGGGAGTGGGTTATGCCGCCCGGCCAACATAGATGCGTGCGTGTGTGAGATGGTGGGAGAAGGACATGGCATGAGCAAGAGGAGCACAAGGACATTGCGGAATTGCCGGGCCATGCCCATAGAATCGGTGCGGAGTGGGTTCCCGTGCGAACACAGGGACAGAGAGAGTTGCAGGTGTTTTTGCGCATAGCTGTCGGCTGCGGCCGTGGGCCGCAGAGCGCCAAATGACTCGTTGTTTTTAATAGGTACAGCACCGGGACTTCCCAGGGTCACCCATCCCAGTACTATTCCAGTCAAACGGTGCTTGGCTTCCGAGTCCAGGTGGGATCAGAGACATTAGCCGTGACCACACCACACAAACTCCGACCATTGCCCTATTTATGCGTGTCGTCCTTGCGCAGGGGGCATGCTAATATTCTCTGTATAGTTCCAATTTTAATGGATGTCCTGAAGGACACATTTTGATTATGGTTGAATCCTGAGTCCCCGTATTTTTTCCCTTTCAAAGTTGAAAATACAACAGTTCTAGTGCCCAACTATGGTGTGGGGTTATCTGCAAGTTTTGAACATAGTTGGTCTTTTTTTTTTTTCCCCCCTCAGTTGAAGAGCACATCAACATCCAATTGGAATATGTGCCTTATGTTCCTGACATCTGCTATGCGAGCAGACACGCGACTGGATACGTCGTATCATCTCGCATGTGGAGGTTGGGATACGGTTGTGTCCAGGGTTTGTGCTCATTGGAGTTGAAATGCAGTCGGCGGATTGTGTTGG